CACACCTTATGTTTTGGAGGGGTGTCAACTAACCATCTGAAGTATTGAATCATCACCAAGCATCACAATTAATAAAAATTACATGAGGAAAACTTAAATAATATATTATAAATTATAAAATGTGAGTAAAGAGTGCACTCGCTAGAGCTCTCACTTGGTAGCCAAATTGCAAAGCAAGAGGTAGAGTGACAATTTGGATTCAAAATTGCTTTTTTCCATTCTTGTTTAAGTTCCTGCTCCAATCCAAACACAACCTTGCTTTTTCTTACAAAATGAAGGCAACTAGAACTAGATGATTTCAATATTCCTGCCAACATGCACCTACACATGCTTCTTCCTATTGATTATTTGTTGTGTCATGGTTCTCATGAATCTAACTCTAAAAGACTTTATGTTTACAACTTACCCGTGAGCTGACATGCTTGAGATTTGGTAATATAATTTTGAGTATGAAAGTAGCCATTTTGTGCAAAAAAAAAAATCAAGAAATTCTTATAGTTAGTACTTTAGGGTTTAGAGTTTAGATTTTAGGATTTCAGGGTGCTTAAGTTAAGATTTTAGATTATAGGGTTTAAGGGCTTAGGGCTTAAATTTAGATTTTAGATTTTAGATTTTAGGGTTTAGATCTAAAAATCATGGTTTTCAAAACTGGGTCAGACCGGATAGTCAGACCGAAAAAAGGTAACCGGTCAGCCCCTGGGTTTGCTTATACTAAAAATTGGAATTTTCTAAAAAACATTGAAAAAGTCAGAAAACCACTGACCCAGGCGGTTGGACCGCTAAACTGTTCAACCCGGGCAGCGGTTCACAGGTTACTCTTTTTATTTTCAATGTTTTAAACAAAAAAACAAAAAATAAAACGCCTTCCCCAACCCAGAGTCGAATGTTTAGTCCCTTTAGGGTTAGAACCAAATTTTCATTCTAACCCTTCCCTCCTCTCAACCCTCACACCCAACCGGCCACCTGCAACGGCCAACACCTCCAGCGTCCGACGGCGACACACACCGACCGACGGCGATTAACGACGAGTTTACAGTAGTAAGAGTTTCGGTGGCCAACACTTGCAGTCTCCAGTAGTAAGAGTTGTGGCGGCCAACACTAGTAGTGGTGACTAGACCTGTTCATGGGCCGGGTAGCCCGATGGCCCGGCCTGCACCCCGGTCAGGCTTGGTCATGTAATTAGGCCCGCGGGCCTGACCTCGGGCCTAACACAGTAAGCCCGACTGTGTTATGGGCCGGGCTCGAGATTTGTCAAAAAAGCCCGGTCTGAGCCCGGTCCGACCCAATTCAGCATTATATATTTTATAAAATATATTATATAAAATATATAAATAATATAATATTTATAATTTAATATATACATTTTTCTATTTTTTTTCTTTATAATTTCTCTCTCACTCACTCTCTCTCTCTATTCAGCCGCTTCAGCAGTAGTAACAACATGGGATAATTTGGGCTCGGGYCCAGGCCCAAGCTTCAGGCTTTTTATGAGGGCCGGGCTCGGGCCCAAGTTGTAGGCCCGATGGTCAGGCTCGGGCCTTAGAAAAATCTGTTAATACAGAGTAAAAGCCCGGCCTGGCCCGACCCATGAACAGGTCTAGTGGTGATCGACTTGTAGTGGTGGGTAACGAGTTTGTAGCTGCTGTCCGACAAGTTTACAGCGGTAGACGGGGAGTTTGTAGTGGTAGTAACACCACCATTGGTTATTGGCGATTCTACAAGTTGGAGTAGCACTTGCAGTGGCAACTTGCCTACAACCAAGCCCGAGCCCACCGGCGGTGAGCCCACTTCTAGATATGCTTACTTCTTATGGAGATTTGTATCAAAATTTAGAACATTGAAAACCTTGTTTGTTTGCATGGCAATCACTATTTTAACTTACAGTTAATCCTATCATATTGGGAATCTTTCCCAAGTTCAGTTATTCTCAGTGTTTACTTGATAGTTGTTTCTGATTAAGTATTTCTGAATGAATCACAAATTTTGCTTTTCATGTTTTTGTATTATCTATTAGCTTTCCTTTCTTGTTTTCCTTGGACAATTCCTCAAACTCTTCTCTCCCTTTATTCTCAATGCAGAGGGTATATTTTGGCCTGTATTTATAATAGCCACTCTTGCTACGGTTGTGGGAAGTGAGGCTATAATTTCAGCTACTTTCTCAATTATCAGTCAGTGTAGGGCACTGAAGTGCTTTCCCCATGTGAAGATAATACACACATCAAGCAAGACGCATGGTCAGATTTACATACCAGAGGTGAATTGGATTTTGATTGTCTTGTGCCTTGCTGTTGTTATTGGCTTTAGAGACACAGACGTGATTGGCAATGCATATGGTATTCTCTGCTTTTTGTCTCTATATATCTGTCTATAGACATGGTACATGGAAGACTTGCTTTATCTGCATTTTTTTTTTGTTTTATTTTTCTGTTTTTGTTTTTGTGTTTTTTTTTCTGCATTTATTTACAATTCTCTGTTTTTTTTTTCTGTATTTTGTTTTGCAATTTTCTGTTTTATTTTTCTGTATTTTATATATTTTTTTTATTTTTTCTATATTTTTTAGAATTTTTCTGTATTTTATTTTTATATTTTCTATGTGTTTTGTACTGTGTTACTTTTTATTTAGGTAGTTTTATTTTCTTTAGTTTTCTGTTTTTTATTTAATTTATGCTATTTTTTATTATTTATAAATATATTTTTTTATTTTTAATTTATTTATGATGTTACAAGTTGAACCGCTTAACCAGAAATCGGTTCCCTGACTGGTTCTATTTCCGATTCATTTTTAAAAACCATAATAAAAATCAGGAGGTGGTAGGATGCATGTCCTCCAACATGGTAGGAGCCAAGTATTGCCCCAAAGTGAAAAGATCAAAAGTGATGTTATGTGAAGATAGCATCAATCCAACTTCCTTTTTTGTCAGAAATAGAAACCATTGACCATTTTATTAAAGCTTTGCTGAAGGCTTCAGCTGCAAGATGGATGATGTGCATCGGTGAAGCTTTTTACCCTTGTAAATTATCTTGAAAACAAATCATAAAGAAATGAAGCCTCCTTCCCTGCGTTCAATTCTATGAAAAATTAGAGTGCCTCCAAGTGATAGTGAACCAATCACTTCATCTTTAGTTTGCTTAGCATTTGAAATTTTGATCACATAAGAGAGATCATCAAAGATGAAATATCAACAAATATTATATATTTGTTCATTTCTCTAAATCCTGATATAAGCGTATTTTAAAATTTATGAAAAAAAAAGAGTTCAAGTCTAAGATCATCTGCTACTTTAATTTTATTAAAAAAAGGTTCAACCATGATGCCGGAAAGATATGATACCGAAAAAACTTCTAACCAATCAATCGGGATCATAAACATGGTAACCAATCAGATGAGTTATATGATTGATCAAAGCCTTTCAGATACCATGACTTTCCAGTATCATAGATTTTCTCTCGAAAAGGGACAAAGGTTATATTTGGATCCAGTCTATTCCTCCCAAGACTGAATAATAATGTAACTGGATTAAAAGTTGGGGAAATGATGTTGTAGTCCAACTTAAGAAAATCAACACCTGTGGGTTCAATTGAATTTGTGATGGTCAAGGTCTCTTCAGCCCCAATTGACTCAGAAAATCAACACTGATAAAGATGAAGAAGAGTAAAGTCTAAAGCTTGGAAACGATTACTTCTGCCGATGGAAAAAAAAAAAAAAAACGGAGAAGTACCGATAACTCCAATGCAAACTGATTTTCACCCTAGAGTTATAACATTTAAAAGGTCAAATACTTCCATTCTACACACTAATGCCCGCTTGTGAATTGATATCAATTCCGAGCTGGCATCCACTTCAACTGTACTTTGAGCTTATAAATTCTGACCCTGAACTGAATGGTCMTTCTCCAAAAAAGCAATCAAATTGTACTGAATTGATACTATTGAACTATGACGGCCCATCTCCATATTTGGCCTGCTATTGATCTGAAGTTTGAATCCATCTGAAAAGAACAACATTCCAGGGTATTTTGATTATTCAATGTAAAGCCAAATGAGCGGCTCAGTTGGTATGTTAGCTAGTTTATTTTATGGAGACAAGGATTCAAATCCCACCATTACTAAATTTGTGGAAGGAGGTTATAGGTGTGGTGCTGCACTACTCAAACAGTCCCTATGAGAGTCAGGTTGCTGTTTGTATTGTACTTAGAGGTGTAAACGGTATTCGAAAATCTAATTTCGAATTCAATATTCAATATAATTGAATTGAATTTGGATAATTCGAATATCTAATCGATCGATTTTGGATATGACCTGATTTGATTTGATAAATATCTGAATTTGATCGATTATTTAATTCTTATATATAATATATAAAATATTTTATATAATTTATATATATAATAATTAAGTTATATAAATAATTAATATATTAATATATTTATATATTTTATATCAATAAAATATTTATTTTATATATTTATTAATTAATTAATTGAATTCGAATCGAATCGAATCGAATCGAATATTTAATCGGATTTGAATTCATATATTAATTTTCAATATCTATTGAATATCGAATCAAATTCGAATATCAGATTTTTAATCAAATTGAAATTCAGATATACCTAATCCGATTTGAATTCGATCCATTTACACCCCTAATTGTACCTTATATAGAATTGCAACTTGGATGGGCTCAACATGTTACAATTCGAGTTTTTGCTCGAGTTATGTCTGAGTTTTAAAGCTCAGACCTGACATAAATTTGGATTATTGGATTAATCTTAGGTTGGGTTTGGGTTAATAAACTTGGGGCTTAGTTTTGGGCTGGGCCAGACCCGAATGCAAGGTTTGTGGGTTAGATCTGACCCAACCCGCCCGAGTTGTACCCCCTGCACATACTACATTTAAGGGAGGGATATATACTTAGAAGGAGCAGTGAAGGGCATTTTAGTAATTCGGAATCTCTGATGAGTCTCCGAGGATAATAAACGCAACAAAGCTTCAATCGCTTCCCCATCGTCGTAGAGCCAGCTGGTTAATATGATATAGCCCACGCTTTTTCGATGAAATTACAAAATCGAGGTTCTGTCTCTGGGAACAATCGTCGAAGGCGTGTTTCTTGCGTTGTTTTCTAGAGTTCCCGTTTCATAGGGAAGTCCCGATTCGCCACTCCTCGCTCTCTCGCAGTCTCGCGGCCGTGTGGAAGGGCTCAAAACAATAAAAAGWCTTGGTTTTCTTTTCTAGTCATCAAATCTGCAGATGCTTCTTCAAACCCTAGTTTTACGGCAGGTACGAACTTTGTACTCCATTTCTCTCCTCTTCTTCTCTTTTCTTTTAATGGGTATCCGTCCATTCTCTTCATCCTGCGTTAGGGTTTAAGTTCTCTCTCTCTCTCTCTCAGTTGTATTATCGAAATCCCTACAAAATTATCGGTTTATAGTTTACATCTATTCAATGCCGAAAAGTAGAGAAAAGAGAAAAGATAGTAAGGGCCCTTTTCTCCTTTTCTTTTTCTTTTTCTTTTACCCTTATCTTGTTTAAAGGTTTCATGAGATTTAAGTGCAGAATCATGGAGTTTATTTGTTGTAGAATACGCATTCAGTGGCGGTGTTTTAGGCTGGTTTGATTATTTTGTATTCTTAATATTGATACGTGAAAGTAAATCCGGAGATGTAAGCTGGGGATTTGAAGGGGTGGGGGGAATAATTGGAGTTTAAGGCTGGGGAGAAATGGATGTGGTTTCAAGGCATTACTGCATAAATATAGTCGTGCTAAATTGTTTACAGAATTAATCGGGGAGAGAGATGTTGTTTAATCTGATAATTCTAGTTACTAACTTCAAATGCCCCCTGTTAGAGTTGTTATCATCTACATCTCCTGTAATAAGGGCCTCTTAAAAACGATTTTCCCCTTTCTCGGGGGTGGGGTGCAGGGTTGGATGTGCTTGGACCTAAGCAAGATAAAACTAGTGTTTCTATATTCGGTTATTTAGTTTGTTTTGTCCAATTTCTTCTTCACTTTTACTTCTGATATTTGGCATTATTAGCTCAAGCACTTGGTCATTTCCAAGAAAGATAAGCAACTGAGGGAATACCCTTGGGTACCATTGAGAGAAGGAGTTAGCAGGGTGATTGTGTCTTAAATAGCATTGGCCTAGAAGTAGCAACTTGGATTGCTACACTTGAAGAGTTTGAAGTTAATAGATTCTTAGATTTTGATAGCGGATGGAGAGAGCTCACTGAGTACAACAATGTTTATCCTGTGCATCCTTGGCATGAGACTCCATGCGTCCATTGCTTGACATCTTAAAGTCTTGTGGCTTGTGAACTATTTTTAACTTTCCAAAATCCAAATAAATATTTGAAAATGAAATCCTTGTTCGCAAGATATGGTGGATGTGTTATGTTCAATGAATTCTGTCATTGTGCATATGATATTGTTACTATTTACTGAATTGTATCACATTGATATTAGAGGCTTACCATGAAATTTTATACCAAATATGCATGCAGCATCTTTTGGGTTAGCGGCATTAACAGATAGGATATTGGCAACTTGTTCTGATAGCATGGCCACGAAGATTGACTCAGCATCTGCAGTTGAACCTCACCATGTGACCAAAGTAGTCACTACCACTACATCTTCAACATCAACTACTGGTCCTAGGGTCTCTATGTTTGGAGCAAAGTCTGGTTTTGTTATACCAAAAAACAAATTATCGGGTTCCTTAGTTCCTATTGCACGAGGTGGTGGAAAGCTAGATACTAGTGATGCAGCCAAGGAAGAGAGTACCAAGCAGGTACAGAGAAAAACCAAATGGGGAATTGATCTGACACAAGATGCTATTGTCCGAAAAGGAAGGGCCTTGGCATATCAGGTAATTTTGAGACTTATCGGTTATGTTTGTTGTAACATGTAAATCATGGTTCTCTGCAAAATATGCATTTGGTTAAAGGTCACTTCGACCTTTGAGGATCTTTCTGTGATTGCATAATTTAAATTTCAATCTTTGTGGTGAATGTTGCATCTGTAATCTTGATGTTTTGTTTCCTTTTAATATTTTAAAGCACCATAAAAGATTGCACTTGTTTGTGTCTACAATTTGCACAGTGGAGTATCAGCTGCTCAACCTGTGGCAATCGAATTTTTTTTTTCATTTTTTCCTTCCATTTAGTGCTTAAATGTGGGTATCTTCCTTGTGAAATTCTCACATGGAAGCTTCCCATTCCAGGTGGCATTAAGTGATGTTACTGCCTGTGTGGTGGTACAAATTTTGAGCAGACTCGAGTGGATCAAATTACACAACAGATGAAATCTGGAGTTCTGAAGACTGGAGATGCCCAAGCCTCAGAATCACCAGCTGAGGTTCCAACTATTGAAACATCTGATCGTCGGAYTAATGATGAGGTATTGTTTTGTTCCAGATGTTGCATTTCTCACTTTTATCATCTAGAAACTGCTTTTTTGTAGGAGTTATTATTTTTTATTTTTTTCTTCTTTCTTATTAAATTTGTCTATCATGAGTCTTGATTCTGAGCATCCATTCTTCTTCAGGCACGGAAACAGGAACTTCTGGAACTAGAAAGGCGAGAAGCTATTGGTTTGTTCAGGACCCTTTACTAAGATTGCACTTTTGTTCTTCTTTCATACACCATACTCACATTCCTTTTTCTTTCATTTTTTTTTTGGGTTTCCAGGTGAAATATTAAAGTTGAATCCAAGTTTCAAGGTTCCACCTGATTACAAGCCATTGCTGAAAGAGGCCGTGGTTCCTGTCCCTGTAAGTTGAGCTTTAGTCATTGGCACACTGATGTTGCATTCTTTTTTTATATGACTCTTCTTTTTATCTTCTGAAAACTGGAAGCTGTCTTACTAGCCATTACCAATCATGTAGCAATGTATTCTTTCTAAAGCATCCCCAATAAAAGTTAGTACTGTTCTGTGAAGAACTTGAGCTTTATTTTCTCTCTGCAGCTTAAAGCATATCCGGGATATAATTTCATAGGCCTAATATTGGGATCTGGGAGCAATACTCAAAAGCGACTAGAACAGGTTAGCATGTCTGATCCTAGTAATGCTTGCTAGAAGTGGTTCTCATCTGGTTATTTGTAGTCAGTGTGATGCTAATTGGAAGGTTTTGCTGTACACTGGTTTCATTTTCTGATTCTAACTTCTTTTTTTTTTTTCAAAATTAAATTAGGAAACTGGATCAAAAATAAGAATTCGTGGTATCAAAGTGGGAACACAGGAGAAGGTAGGTATCACTTTATAGAGAAGAGGAAGTGTTATTGATGAGAATAGCTTACAAACACAAGTTTTATGTCATTCTATGTAGCAGGCTTTTTTTTGGTATATTTTATCCGATTTTCCTTCCTGATATCACTTATGTTTTCTCTTTCACCTTTTTATAATATTTTTCATTATATTCTCTAAAAAGCTTGTCATCATCTGTCAAAACAAATAATATCATGCTCTCCTTGATTATTTTATTTTCTTTCCTCTATTTGAAAATATTTCCTTTMCCTTCTGCATTCTATTCCATGACTAAAATTGATTAGATGAATTAGTCCTGGATGATTTATTTTCTTTGAAATTGCTTCATGTCCAGGTTGAAATTACTCAATCAGATGGGAATGAAGACCCTGGTGCTTATGAAGAATTGCATGTCCATATATCTGCTGACACATATGAGAAAGTTGATGCTGCAGTTTCCTTAATAGAACTGCTGGTCACCCCAGTATCTGTGAGTTTTAAATTTCAATTTACTACAGATGGCATGGATTTGATTCCTCTCTATCTAGTTTCTTTCTAGTTTTCTGTATTTATCATGCTAATGGTTTTCCTTTTTCTAATGTCAGGGGAGTAAGGCTGTGGTTTCCACAACTCCAACTTCAGTTTCTGGGGAGAGTGCAAACATGTTTGATCCAAGCCAGAAAGATGCAAGCAGTGGTTATAACATGCCTGTTCCTGCAGTTAATCAGGGAGTGCTGCAACCAATTATGGGATCCAGTCAACCAGGTCGTCCACAAACTCAATTTCAGCCATACCCAACTCCATGGTTCCCAACAGGCTCACCTAATGCTCTTACACTTCCGCCTTCTGGCTTCAGCCCCCATCCAAGTTCTTTGGTCTCCTTGCCCAACAATCCAGTTCAGGTATCTCCCTCTCCACTCAATCCTTCAAACGTCCCTCCATTTTTTGGAGGTGGCCCTCCTGCTGTAGCCGGGTTTGGCTCTGTTCCAAGGAACCCACATTTTGCTCCAAGACAACAGCCATCAATGCCAGTTTTGCAGCAGCCCTTTCATGATGCACGTCCTTTGGGCAATGTTCCTCCAAGAAACCATTCCATGACAGGCCCACAGCCCCCATCAGCATATGCTACTATGCCAACTCCACCCACTCCTAGTGTACCACTTTCATTTACTGGTAACCAACCGAGACCTACTGGACCAGCACCTGTGGCAAGACAACCAGTGCCGTCAATGCCTCAATTGGCATCAACAACTCTGTCAGGGCAACATCCTAACAGACCATTCAATCCTGTTGGAAGTTCTGCCGGATGGYCTACTGTACCTACAGGCCCTCCAGTCCCTCAAGGGCCAGGCAACATCATGCAGACAGCTCCACCTCAGAGACCTCCTCCTGCAGTTCCACAGCCTATTGTTCAATCAGGAGTTCCTCCACCAAATGTGCCATCAATGGTATTCAGCGGACCTCCAGCAGGGAATGTGGTATCTCCGGCTAGCTTCCCTCCCCGACCTACTCCCCAATTACCTGGTACTCCAGCTAATCATGCAGCTGCTGCACCAACATTTGCTTCTGCCCAAATTCAAGTTGTGTCAGGCACTGCATCATCAGTTTCTGCTCTACCTGCAGCACCTGCAACGATGCTAACATCATTACCTTCAGCTGGACCATCACCGGCATCAGGATCATTGCCATCAACATCTAGGGCAGCATCAACACCAATGCCTCCACCAATTATTCCACAAGCACCATTCTCAATTGTGACCCAAACAACAGGAGCAAATTCAGCATCAGTACCATCATCCATTCAGTCTACACCGATTGCACCCTCGCAGCCAGTAAATATACATGCTTCTGTACCTAATCTATTACAAAACCCTATGCTTAGTTCTGCACAAGTTCCTCCACCCGTTCCTTTGGCTTCATCCCAACCACAACCAGGGATGCCACCTGCTGTTTCTGGAAGCATACCAAGTTTCACTCCCATGAAGCCCCCAGTGACAAGTGCTGGAAATATTCCACCAGTTACAGCTCCAAAGCCTCAAAGGCCAAGCTCAGGAGACTTCACATTTCAGCCTATCAGACTGCCATCTTCTCAAACAGTTTCAAGGCCAAGCAATCAACTTGTGCCTCAGAATACTCCACCGTTGCTACCAAAGTCTTCAATGCAACACCCACAAGCACCCCAACCGGCACTCCAACCACCTTCATTCCGGCCAGCCATGTTCAATTCATCACCACAGCCTGGCATGCAAAATTTTCCCAGGCCCCAGATTAACAACCAGATGGGTAGACCTCATGCTCCGGTAACATCAATAGCACCTGGATCTGCTATCCCCTTTGCTGGTAGCCCAACTGCTATCCCACCACCACCGCCCCCTAGAATCCCAGCATCTCTGAATCCACATCATGTTGTGTCTACTCCTTCCCAAGTGGGACCACGGAGCTTTGGTTCAGCATCTCATATCCCTGGTCCGTTGCCCCTTCGACCGCTGAATCCACTATTGCAGCAGCAGAATCAGCCAGGTCCAGCTCCAACTAATCGACCAGGAAACCCCTCGTTTCAAATCCACCAGTTTAACAGCAGTCTGTCCTTTTCTTCTGGTAAGTCGATTTCCACTCCTGGTGGAAACCAAATATATGATCCATTCTCACCCACTTCGGTATCTTCCCGACAAGGGGACTCTCCAGCAAAGGCAAGGAAACAGGAGAATGACCCGGAGTACGAGGATTTAATGGCCTCAGTTGGTGTGCGATGATCTATTAGACTGAAATTTCAGAGTTACTGCTAACGTACGAGCTAAGAAAGAAAATTGGAGGATATTCCGTGATAAGTTTTTGTCGATCCAGGTATACCGGGAATCTCAAGGAGTTGGGCTAGAAAAATAAAGTAGGAAGTAGGAACAAACGATGCCGCACTTAATTGAAAACTGATTTTATTTGTATGGTGCTCTGTTTGTGGATTGGTAGAGCTCTGAAGTTTTATAAATTGTGTCAACTGTTATTGTACCTTGCATCCATGATCCGTCCATGGTGAGCCGAATTGAATATAGATTTGATATAGGGGTTAGGGGTCTGGAATCGGAATTGAAATGGTATTGTCATTCCCATTCCAAGTTTAATAACAACTGTTTGATTGGGCGGAACTGGATTCCCATTCCCATTCCCATTCCCATTCCCATTCCCATTCCCATTCCCATTCCTGGTGGAATGCTGGTGGAAAGGCATTCCCCCATTTGTGGGAAAGGCCATTCCCTCCCCCTCTTTCCTCTTTTTGGGAAAGGCCAATGAATGAATGGAAGCTTCTGGTAAGAAAAAAAGAATCAATACCGTTTGTCCCAGCCATGAGCCATGTATATCTATGTTCTTGAAGAAAGGTTCATGGTGTCACAAGAATGCAATTTGAAGAGACAGATGTGCATGGGATGGCATGTTGGATTGAAGGCAATCTTAACCCATCCCGAGCTCATTTTCTCACCACGTTGTCTTCACATAGGCGATTTTGACTTTACCAGATACAAACGTTATGTGAAATTCACTTCAAAGGAAATATCATTTAGCAGGTTTTGGTACAGTGGTGTGGTGTTGCCTTGCTGTTGTAGTTTGGGTTGATCAAATGTGTATTGTCACACGATATAAATCAAATTTGATGTTTTAAATAGAAATATCAATACAAAATTTGTATTGATCAATTCGAAATTTGTATTAATCAATCCAAAATGCAAGAACAATACCACACCACTGCTTGGGGGAGGCATTTTCTCTTATGTGGTGTGGTGCCTAATAGTATCCAATGATTTTTATGTATAATCAAAAGCAATAAACAAATGTTACATTGTGATTTGTGTCCAATCCTCTTCTTTCCCCAATTTTCAATGCATAAATCAGATACAAATGCAACACCCAAATAACAAGATGCCAAACACCACCAACTAACAATGGCCGTTAATGAGGCAAAACATGTATTTAGAAAATAGTTAGAACCGATTGATAATGGCACCAACATGCTAATCAAATTCACTTTTACCATGGTTAGATGCTTTCATTCGATCAACTCTTTATTTCTAATTTTCTATATACAAATCCTAAATTGTAAACCCTAATTTAAACCCTATATTCTAACTAAAAATGCATTGGTTGGATCGGCATCACGGATTTTTCCACTAATAATTCCTCCAACATTCTTGCCACAAGATTGTTAGGTGATTAAACGGATAGCTGTCTCATTTGGGGCTGGATCTGTTTACAACAAAAGGCTCCTCCAACACGTTCTAACCTAATCTGTGTCATACATGGAGGGTCCTACTCCTAGTCTCATAGCAAATGTGTCGGATACACCATGTTGGGACTGTGTTGGGACAGTTTTTGTTGTTTGTTCATGATAAGGGTTGAATTAGCCGCCAATGAGATCACGATGCGTAGTGACATTAAAAGACCTGGCAGCACCTTGGATGCCCCCACCAGCAACTCGGTTCGAGCTCCCTCGATTATGTTCAACGAGGGCCAGACTGACACTCGAGCTGAGCTGAGTGTTGAAGGAAACACACTTTGCCCAGCTGATCTGATATTAGAAGAAATACAACCAAGCTGCCCCACGTGTACTTAACGACAAACACCTGGCCATGCGATCATCCCATTTGCCCATTCTCTCAGATAGTAGCCCATGGGCTTTCTCCACGTACGCGTGAATGTGGCACATGAATCACCTAAATCCTATAGATCAACCATGTATCTTACCCACTGTTCAAAATCGTTGATTTTGGTCAATAAACCGCTGAACCATCCAGTTAACCGTTTGAACCGTTTTTGTCATTTTCCATTTTTTTTATCAGAACGGATTGACCGTTTGGATTGAACGATCGGACCGTTCGAACCGATAACCRGACCCTGACCAGTTCGTTTTTAAAAACCATGATCTTACCCATTATCCCCACGTGTTGGTCGACACGATTTCCCCAACCTATATCAAGGTAAATTCAGAAGCTTGGTGTTTACATTGCATTTACTACCTTTAGTTTACCTTGAACAACTCGACCAACCTATTAACATGAATGTTGGAGCACCAAGCCCTGGATATCACTCCAAGCTCTCCAACCTACCTTTGCCTTGCAACTTCTTTATTTGGTGACTTTAATCATCATCAAATTGATGTTATTTATTAAGAAATTATAATAAATTAGATGTCCGATTAAACCCAACCCCCTTACCCTTGAATGCACAAAGGATAGGATTGGAAAGGATTTTGCAATTTCATGTAAGAAGAGAATTTAAATTCTCAAAATCCAATCTACTACAGATTTTGAGGCAGACATGGGTGAAGAGAATTAGGGAGGCAAATAAGGTATTCAAGTTATAAAACCTTCCTAAAACTTGCCTCATTACCATCCCTACATCTGAAGCATTTTTTCTTCTTCTTCTTTTTTTTTTTTTTTTTTAAGATGGTGCTTGGTATCAATGGTGTTTTTTAGAGCACCAATGCTAAGCTCAACCCCATATAGGCGTTTAACGAAAACAACACAAAAAATGCTATTAAATTGAGCTACTTATTAGATAAACGTGTCTCTCGATTTTTTATTGCTTGGCTTATATAGTGCCTAATGGCACCAAGGCATAAAAAAATGTTTGATGTAGATTTTTCCATGAAAGACCCCTTGTATTATGGGGTCACTGATGATAGAATGTGTTAAATTACCAAAACACCCATCTTAACTTTCTTTGTTTTCTTTTTTCTCTTAAACCCTAACCTAAACTAGTCTTCGTATTCCCTTCTCCAAACTTTGTTGCTCACCAATCACCATTTTCTCCTTTCCTCATTTCCTGTTACATTTTCCTCTACCCACTGCTCATATCAATCATCACTCACCCTCAATATTTACGATTGGTTGGTTACCCAAACAAATAGCAGAATAGGATTGGACAAATCAAAGAATGGCACAACCAGCAAGTTCACCCGTCATGTGGATTTCCAAGACAAAAATCACCAATCGAAGAGGATTGAACAAATCAATCATCGCTATGGTCACTGGGAACTGGGAACCATGGTTCTCAACCGACCTCGGGAGGTCGTCAACATTAGTTGAACCAAACTGCCCAGGACCTCGGTTCCACCTCGAAGACATCAACGACTCAGGCACAAGATCGACACTCCAATCGAATAATGCTGACCTGCCACATCAGCATGGGGAATGCGTTTCTGGGCACTCAACCCCTCTAACATCCTCAGGAATGTGCCCAGCAACTAACAATAACGACAAGAGCCTCCCCACTTCTTAGGGAAACGACAGGCGCCTCATCCGGAGAATGTTCCATAGGAACCTAAGAATTTGCTCACCAAAATTCATTACTTCCGGGAATCTCACAAGTGCCTTAATCACTCCTCATCTCCATAAAAAAGGGGTACCTTCGCCTTTACAAGCTATGCTCTCTCAGAGAAGCTCTAGCTCACCTTGGTCTCTCTACTCGAAATTCTCTTTCACTTTGTCTAAGTCGGCACTAACTTGGCCATCAGAGTTTCCTCACATAGGCTCACAACACTCTTTAACATTCTCTCTCTTGTAGGGCTCATGCCACTCTCCGCTCTCGCACAAAGACCTAAGCAGATTGAGCACCATCACTTCTAGATGAACTTCTGAATTTCTACTCTTCCTCTCCAAATTCTACAGAAATGAAACTTTTCGCCTAAACGAATTCACCACTCTGCAAACTAAAGTTTACTATTTCTGATGGTGCCGGAGATGGTTGGTGATGAAGGGGAATTTGGCCCAACCTCGCAATCACCCGACACGTGGCAAAAGCAAACAACTCGGGACAGCGGAGCGCCCAAAACGAGCACCAAAAAGTAGCGAAGTCCAAGCTCACTACCGAGCCCGAACTCCAGACCGCTCTACTAGGAGCCCGAGCTCCCTACGAAGAGTCCGAGCTCCCTACTGGGAGTCCGAGCTCCCTATTAAGAGCAAGCTCCCTATTAAGAGTCCGAGCTCCCTATTAAGAGTCCGAGCTCCCTATTAAGAACCCGAGCTCCCTACTGAGAACCCGAGCTCCCTGCAAGGAGCATGAACTATATTGG